GCACACTTGTAAGGAAGAGTGTTTCCAAGAAGGATTACCTGAGAAGGAGGGGCAAGACCATCAATGAAATTTGGTGGAGTCATCCCTGGTACTGTGAGTCTGGAATACAAGGCAGTAAAAAAGTAGCTATTAAAAGAGTGGCCAGCCTGGCTCTGCTTCCTGCCACCGTATAAGAATTATTCCACCCTGACCTTCATATTTTGAACACTGAGACCCTTTCGGGTCAAAAAGCACCTCTTCCTTATCCAAGTTAATAGGAGGAATTTTTTCAAGACAAGATCTTTCTGTGTGACAGCTCTGGATGTACTGCTACAACATCTATAGACATGAGTGGTCTTGATTTCACAGAGTTCTTCCTGGCTGTGCCTCCAAGTGATTCGATTAAAAGGTTGGGGCACTACCACCAGTCTGGGAGGAATTCATATAACAATATGAAAAGAGCAAGTAACAACTGTGTAGGAAAGAACACCATTCCTTTATTTATGGACAATTCACTCCAGTAAACAAACTGCACTTGTGAGGGTTATTCTTGGTTGCCAAAGAGACCACATCCCAAATTAACTAAAATCCTAAAATGGAGTGGGCAACACTTTGAAATGTTTTGCATATGATCAAGAAGGCAGGTACACTTGAAACAGAAAATCTGGAGGTAGGGAGACACAAATATTTACCCTGGAATTCAAGGCCCAAAGACACACAACTTTAATCCAGATCATGAGGCCGGGAGACACACCCTAAATTTGGACACAACTTCTGCTGGAAGTATATAAAGGACATGGAGGAAGGAAGCTGATGCACTCTGCCTGCTTGCACTCACCTTGCTACAAGTCCATTCTTTCACTGGCATTACAGAATACTTGTTGGAATTCCAGCACATATTGTAGACCAGGGTACATATCTAAACTTCTGGATTGAGTAAGCACTGGATTCTTGGACTTTCCCTTAACAACTAGCCATTGTGGTATTAGTAGGACTGCATCCTGTAGGGAGAAATCCTGCTTAAAGAGGTACCTATATACTATGTTAGCAGTCAGCTTCATACCTAATATGATATCTCTAATCAGAGGATTGAGACACTGGGAAAAGGAAAATAACCTGTATGAATTATGGGCAGCTTAGAAAGGTGGATGCAAGATAAAAAAGTCATCCTTGAAAACATGATGTCTGAAATGCAAGACATGAAACATTTATGTAAGGAAGTTGAGGATATTAAGTCTGCCCATGCTACATTACAGACACAGGTAGAACACACTCATGGCCAAACAGAACCCAAAATTTGTTCCATGTCTGATGCCTTAAATGGAAAGAGAGCTAAGAACCAGGACAACATTAGCAATATGGCACAGATAATTTGCTCCATATCTCATGAATGTACTGCCACAGGCCAAAAGCTAGAGTCTGGGTTTTCATATTTAGAATGTAATTTACATGCCATTCAGATACTATCTAAGGATGGGAAGATTAAAGGTTTAGAAGCACATGTAAATGAAGAAACAAGACAAATGAACAATTCTATATAATTCTCAGAATCTTATATGATTCACCAGATTCAAAAAACAAACAGACAAGTAAATTAATGAAAGAATAAATATTATACATATATAGAGAAAAGAACTATCATGATAAACGGACATCAACATAGTCAACTTAGACATGTAGTAGTAAGGTCATTTCCAGACACTAGATCTCATTGGGACATGGCCTATCATATCATTAGTTTACTTAAAGTAAATTACCTAATTTTCACTTCCTCTTTTCCCCCAAAACAGTACTTATTTACCACTTCAAAGGGAAAGATTAATGCTAGGGCAGGAAAGATCGCTCTGTGTTATGAGCACTGGCTGCTTTTATAGAGGACCCGTGTCCAAACCCTAGCACCCACATGTGGGCTCACAACCATCTGTAAGTCTAGTTCCAGAGAATCCCAGGTCATCTTAGTCCTACATAGCCCCACATCTGCATGTCTAACTGACATCTGAGCACATAGAACTTGTGTGTGTGTGTGTGAGTGTGTGTGTGTGTGTGTGTGTGTGTGTGTATGAAAAGAAAATAGTAAAACGTTAAATTAAAATGGAAAATTAACATTTAGAACTTCCTTCCTGCAGGAAGAGGAGCTGACCAAGAGTAGCGATTCTTTTGGCCCCATGAATGTAGTTGTGGGACAGGAGGCTAGAAGTCTATGGGGTATCTGGCAGTGGAACCAGTATTTTCCCATAGTATACAGATGGACTTTGGGAGCCCATAACCTATGAAGGAATACTCTCGAAGCCTAGATACAATGGAATGGCCTAAGTCCTGCCCCTAAAGATGTAACAGATATTGATGGTCCCATATGGGAGTATTCAACCTCCATGAGGAGTAGATGATGTATAGTTGGGAAGGATGGGGGGTGGAGGATGGCAGAGAGAGAGAACTGGGATTTATATGTTAAATAAGATTTTTTAATTTAAATAAAAATTAATTTTACAGAAGAAACAACAAAATGACTAGAGAGTCTAAGTCTCATTCAAGGGCTACATCAAATAGCAATAATAATAACACTTCCTCTTCTTTTTTTTCTGTTTCTATTGGTTCATTCATGTTAGTTAACTGTCACAAACAAATTTCAGTGTTTCCCAAAATAATATACAAACAAAGGAAAAGTAGCCAGGAAGGTCTATTTCTTTCTTTAAACTGCATGTGACATGACAGAAAGCCAGCTACCAAGCAAACAGTGTCAGGTCTTTGTCCTTAACACAATGGGGAGCTTGGCTGTTCCTTATTTTCTGAGGTTCAACCCCAAACTCCACACTTGTAGACTAATTTGGAAAGTTGGAGTGGGGAAAAGAGAGTAAAGGGATTGAGTAAAAGGGAGACAAGTGAGGAGCAGATACCTACCCATTAGCCTGTTTGCACAAAGGACTGAATTCTCAATAGAGAGGGGAAGAAAGAAAAGCAAACCAATATAATCCCAAATCTTTTTCCCAACATCTAAAACCAGAACCATCTTTGTAGATCTCCCAAAGTTTCGCTAGTGCCTGATTTCTCTGTAACCCTAAAATGTCTCCCTCTATTGTAGTATCTCCATAGTTTTCTTCTATTCTTCCCCCAACTCAACTTTCTGCTCCCTCATGTCCTACTCAACCCACCTCTTCTCCCCGTCTCTTTCTCAGAGATCCCTCCTCTTTGCTCTGGTGCTCCCAATTTGCTCATAAAACATCAGAGTATTGGACATGGTAGCACCCACTGGAAGGAAACCTTGGTCCCTTATCCACAAGGAGAGACTTAGACACATTCTATCCCCATAGAAGAAGGGATGGGAAGAAGACAACATAAAAACACATTCAACAACAGAAAAAGCAATATGACAGCACCAGAGTCTAGGGACTCCACATTAACAAGACCTGAATATCCAAACACAGATGAAGCAGAAGAGAATGGCCGTAAAAACCACTTAATGAAAATGATAGAAGCCCTCATAGAAAATATGGGAAAATTCCTTAATGAAATTGAAGAAAAAACAAACCAAAAATACAAGAAACCAAGAATTCTCTTAAAGAAAGCCAAGAAAAATAATCAAACATATGAAGGAAACAGTTCAAACATGAAAAAATAAATGCAGACAATAAGCAAAACAAAGGCTAAGGTAAAATAGAAAAGCTTTGCATATGATCAGGAACTATAGATGCAAGTATAACCACAGAATAAAACACATGGAAGAGAGTATCTCAGGCATTGAAGATACACTAAGAGAAATAGACTCATGGATCAAAGAAAATGTTTAGGCAAAAATCACTAACAGAAAATATTCATGAAATATGGAACACTGCGAAAAGGCCAAGCCTAAAAATAATAGGTGTAGAAGAAAGAGAAAAGACCCAATTCAAATTGCAGAAACAGATTCACCAATAACATAGAAGAAAACTTTCCCAACCTAAAGAAAGACATGCCAATGAAAGTACAAGAACTCTACAGCACACCAAAAACAGTGAAAACAAAAGTTCCATTGCCACATAATAATTAAAACTCAAAACCCACAGAACATAGAAAAATATGAATAGCAAATAAGAAAAAAGATCAAGTAACATATAAAGGCAAACCTATTAGAATTATACTTGACTTTTCCATGGAAACACTGAAAGCCAGTAGGCCCTGGATAGATACTCTACCAACATTAAGAGACCCCGGATGCCAACACAGATAAATGTACCCAGCAGAATTTTCAGTCAATGCAGATGCAGAAAACAAGATATTCCGCGATATAAACAGATTTAAACAATACATACCCACTAATATAGTCATAAACAATGTTTTGGAAGGAAAACTCCAACGCAAGGAAGTTAACTACAACCAGAAAAACATAGGCAAGAGATAATCCCAGCTTACCAACAGCCAAAATATAAATGGGGTAGAAATCCACACAAAATTCCAAACCAACAACAAATCCAAAGCAAAATAGAATGAACAATCAATGTTCATTAATATCACTCAATATTAATGGTATTTATTCACCTTTACAAAGCACAGACTAACAGAAAAGCTCTTGAGAATAGAGTGGCTTTGAGAATTCTGTCTAAACTTCCACAACCAAGCAGAGCTCAATGGACTAAATTGGGTACTGCAAACAGAAAACCATGGAATCCACAAACTGATGGTAAAATTTTTATTCCCTTTATATTGCTTTTGGTTAACAGAGATTGATACACCCATAGACACAAGAGGAGGACTTCACCCACCGTATCTCCAATGACAGATGTTTGAGAATTCACCCATGGATGCAGAGAGCTGAACTCAAGAACTGTTCTTCTGCAGGAGCAACAATTCCTTTGGCCAACTGAGTCAACCCTCCAGTCCCCACACACTGAGTTTGCAGGGAAAAACTGTCTCCTTCATCTTCTCTGTCTCTTGTAAGCAAACATGCATGTCTGTTTCATCCTTGGCTCTCAATCCTTCATCATATAATCTGCTCAGTCTTGTCCAGACAGGTTCCTCCAAAGATACCCTGCTGCCATGGGCTTGGGTCAAGCAACTGAATAGAATGCCAGTATCCAACTCATTGGATAGTAAGCAAACCAGTCCGGCAAAAGGGTATAGTATTGGGGAATCCACTGATCCCCATTCAACTCATTTAGAGGGGCATTAAAAGGCTGAGCCCCCATGCTGTCTTTCCCCAGGTACTCCGTATACACTAATGATGTACTGTAGTCTACACAGGTGGCCTGGGAACGAGGGGAGCCCACCATTTTCTTCCAGCTTGAGGTCTCAGAAACCTCAGACGCATGAGCTGTAATGAAATCCAGGGCCTTGGTTTTCAGCTGCCCTGCACCGTGGAGGTCAGCCAGGAAGAGAGTATGGGCAGCATTCTCCACAGAGAGGTCCCTGCAGAGGGCATCCTCACACAAGACCTTCAAACGCTCCAGGCCATACTTGTCAGCAGCTGCCAGAACAGCATTTGCCATGCTGTGGAGGTCTGGTGCCTTCCCGGTGTAAATGAATTCCATCATTGCCTTGAAAACTTGCGGCTCCAGATCAAGGATCTCAACGCGGTTTGTTCTGCTCTCCTCCATGTCATGTTCAAACATAGCTCTGAAAACTGGAGAGCGAGCTGCTAAGATGGCCTTGTGAGCTCGGAATTCCTGGCCAGCTACCACTAGGCTGCAGTCTGTGAAGAGGGAATTCTCCCACAGCTGTCCTAGCTCATCTGCCATCGTGCACCTTGGAATCTGGATACCTGGCACCGTGCTGTCCTCGCAGTTGATGAAGGAGTCTTGGACTGCCAGGTCCACATCGCATAAGACAGTGAGTTCATTGTCTGGGAGAAGCCAAGACTCAAGAACAAATCTCGATGGATGAACTTTTTGAATCCCCAGTGTTGATTTGGCGTGAACTTGAAGAATCTTGGGCTTATCATACCATTGGTTTTCTCTCCCTCCACACTTACCATCGAAAACTGGACCTTTGCCCACACTGGGCTCCTGGGCAGCTGAGCAATGTTAGGTGAATTGACAAGTAATCTTTGCTGTCTTCGTCGATCCCGTTAGTCTGTACTTTCAAACTCCATTTGTCATTGACACTGGATCCAGATGAGAAGGTTGGACTTTTAATGGCTTCCTCAATTTCCTGAAGCAGGAATCTGAAGTTGCTTATGGTCCAACTGTAAGAAAATTTCTGGACACTGATCTCTGGGTAGCACCATCTTTCGGCTGTAGCATCTTCTGTCATATCTACTGAGGTAGTTTGAAAGTTAACCTGGATCCAAAATGAAGAAATAGGACGTTTTCTTCTTCAACCTGGTGTCACAATTGCAGAGATCTGTAAAAGGAAAACAAATACTCAGAGACTCATATTGGGGTTCAAGCTTCAAGCTGAAGATCAGCGAGGCAAAGCAGCCAAGCCACTAGCTCTTGCCTCCTCATCAGGTTGCATGAGCTCTCAATAAACATCACACTGCTGCCTCTCCTCAGCTTAACTGGAGATAACCATAGGACTGACTACTGAAGACCCTACTCCTAATTTTATACACTCTAGTGCTGGGATAATGGGCATGAGCTCTGTTACTCCTTTAATTTTGTTTAATCTCTTGTAGCCCTGTGTGTACTTGAGAAAGTACAAAGAGAACCATCTGCCTTTGTCTCCTGAGTCCTCAGAAGATAGGTGTCTGTGTGGCTTCTCTGGGTAATGAATATGGGTGCTTTCCTATTTTCATCTCCAGTGGCTTCAGGAATTGTAAGCTATATCTGTACTACCACTGATAGTGGTTAGTCTTTTATTTCTGTTTTCCCCTCTGTTCCCACTTCTATGGGGCTGGAAACTTGGATATCTCTCTGAAACTTTCTATCAAGATTTCAAAAATTTGTTTCAGAGAAGAGAGTTTAGGCTACTATGGATAGTTACATCACTCGGATTTCTTTTCTAGATTGAATCTTAGGTCAACAGATAACTATTTTGACAATTTTACTCAAATGTTGAATCATATGGAACATCTTATACACTTGTATCCAAAAGTGTTGTGCTAGGGTTCTCTAGAGCAACAGAATGTATCGAATGGACCTCTCTGGGTGAAGAAAGGAGATTCACTAGAATGACTTAGGGTTGCATTCCTGTCAATCCCACAATGTCAGCTGTGAAGGAAAAGTATAAGAATCCAGTACTTACTCAGTCCAGGAGATTGTATGTGTCTGGTGCTCTTCAGTAGATGCTGAAACTCAAATAAGCATTCTCTAATGGCAGTGAAGTGATGGACTTGATGAAAGGTGAGTGCAAGACCACAGACTGCTGCAACTTCCTTCTAGCATGTCTTTTATATGCTTCCAGAAGAAGGTTTATCCCAATTTTGGGTATGTCTCCTAGCCTAAGATCTGGATTAAAGGTGTGTGTCTTCAGGCCTGGTGCTTCTGTTCTTATGCTTGTGTTTTCTACCTTCAAATTCAGTATTTCAAATGAATCTCCTACTCTAACTCATGCATAACTTTCCCAACAGTTATGCCATCCATTTTAGGATATTTCGGTTAATTCCAGGGGTGGTCTATTTGGGAAGCAAGTATAACCATGACAAATGCATTTTGCCTGACCGAATTATTCTTCTAAAAATAAAGAAATGATTTCATTTCCTACACAGTTGTTATTTACTCTTTTCATGTTTTTAAATATTCCTACCGCCCCACTGTGGTGGCATGTACCTTTAATCCCAGCACTTAGGAGTCACAGGTAGGCATTTCTCTGTTAGTTCAAGGACAGCTTGGTATACAGAGATAGTTCTATAGTCTCCAGAGCTGTTACACAGAAATTCCTGTTTGTGAAAAAAGTAATCTTACCATAAGCATGATCCAGGAAGAGGATTTTTTTCTGTCAGTGTTCACAATATGGGGCTCAGGATGGAGAATCCATTTATGGTGGGCATTCATCAGGGTCAAGCATGATCCTGTGAAAATGGCTGTCACCTTTTCTACCTTTCATTCCATCCAAACTCACTTTCCTTTGGATGGATCAACCAAATTTCACTGGTGGTCTTGCCCTTCCTCTTCTGTTAATCCTCCTTGAACACAAATTCTGATCCACTTAAGTGTGTGTTTTCAGAAGTCCCTAAATACCACTCATTTTGCTCGTGCTTGTTGCCAGAACAAAGCTTCTCATTACCTCATAATTTTCATCACTCACTTGTAAGTCTGTCTTCTTCAATCTTGGACCTCCCAGGCTTACTCTGCTAGACTTAAAATTGTAAAAGCATTCTGGTTTGCAAGGGGTTCTGAATATTTTCAACAGTTACTGAACTGCCTCTTCCTTCAAATATGGGGTCTTGAAATTAACAAATATAATCCCTTCAAAGGAATGTTTTCTGAGATGGAACAGCTTGACTCTGGATCCAGCTAGTGAAAAATCGCCTATGCTATTAAATTACCACCTCCTATAATTCTGCCAAATTAAAAAAAGTAAAAATAAACAATCAAAACCAATTGATTGAATTATCGTCTACTGATAGATAAGTAGTGTTGTAGCCAGATTTACAGAGAGTCCGACTGAGAATGGCTGTGCTGATTCAATCAATGAACCTATTTCCTTGTAGTCTAGGCTTAGAGATACTCTCCAAGATAAGATAACTGGAGAGACATGACAAGTACAGAGAATTTTGATAAACACGCTACACAAGGAAACCCATCTAAATCCCCTCCCTCCATCATTTCTGTTGAATAGAGTCTGCATTTCATGGAAACTAGAATAATCTCTCACTTTAGGGACTAAAACATAAGCATGGAATTTCTCCATTTGAACAGTACAGAATCTACCACTCCACAAGGGAGTATATGACCTACTGAGACTTAATGTAAGTGATTGACAGGAGAAGGATTTAGGATATTCGTTAATGACTCTCATAGATGGGGCTGAAATACTTTTTCTAGGCATGATCATCTGAGAGGCAGGGAAAAGACCACCACTACAGTTTGTTGGAGTCATCAGGGGACTGTGGTTCTGGATAGTATATAGGGTAAGAAAGAGGAGAGCCACCATAAGGACTTCCTGTCTCTGCTTCACTCTCACAATTTATGGGCTCTCTATCTGATGTCTAGGGAGCATTTACAGATCACATTTGAAGGGAAACAATCTCGAATTCCCTTCTTCAGTAACTTGAATATATTCTGTGTCCTTTCATAGCCAGAATACTGTCTCTCTTGTAAACCTAGCACAGTAAGCCTACAAGTTCAAAGTTAAAGGACAGAACCCAAAGTGATGGATTAAAATTATGACGTAATGAGAAGCTGAATTTGGCAGTCAGCATGATGGAAAAGATGTATTTAGGATCTTCTCATCACACACTCTTAAGGAAGAGTGTTTCCAAGGAGGATTAACCCAGAAGGAGGGGCAAGACCATCAAAGAAATTTGGTGGAGTCATCCCTGGGACTCTGATTATGGAATACAAGGCAGGAAAAGTTTCTATTAAAAGAGTGTCCAGCCTGGCTCTGCTTCCTGCCACCGTATAGGAGTTATTCCACCCTGACCTCCTTATTTTGAACACTGAGACCCCTGAGGGTCAAAAAGCAGCTCTTCCTTATCCAAGTTAATAGGACGAATTTTTTTCAAGACAAGGTCTTTCTGTGTAACAGGTATGGATGTCCTGCTACTACCTCTATAGACCTGACTGGCCTGGTTTTCACAGAGATCTGCCTGCCTGTGCCTCCAAGTGATTGGATTAAAAGCTTGGAACACTGCCACCAGTCTTGGAGGAATTCTTATAACAATATGAGAGGAGAAAGTAACAACTGTGTAGGAAAGAACACCATTCCTTTATTTTTGGAAGATTTTCTCCAGCAAACAAACTGCACTTGTAATGGTTATTCTTGGTTGCCAACTAAACCCCATTCAGAATTAACTAAATACTAAAATGGAGTGAGCAACACTTCCATATGTTTTACATAATATCAAGTAGGCAGGTCAACTTAAAACAGAAAATCTTGAGGTAGGAAGACAGAAACATTTACCCTGGATCTCGAGGCCCAAAGACACACAACTTTAATCCAGATCTTGAGGCTGGGAGACACTCCCTAAATTTGGACACACCTTCTCTGGAAGCATATACTAGCACCTGAAGGAGTGAAGCAGTTGCACCCTGCCTGCTTGCCATCATCTTGTCACAACCCAATTCTTTCAGTGGCATTACAGAATACTTGTTGTAATTCCAGCACATACTGTAGACCAGGGGACACATCCAAACTTCTGGACTGAGTAAGCGCTAGATTCTTGGACTTCCCTTAACAACTAGCCATTGTGGGATTAGCAGGACTGCATCCTGTAGGGAGAAACCCTGATTAAGAGGTACCTATATTCTATATTAGCAGTAAGCTTCATATCTAATGTGATATCTCTAACCAGAGGATTGAGACACTGGGTAAAGAAATAAGAACATGTATCAATTTTGGGCAGCTTGAAAGTTGGATGCAAGATATAAAAGCAATCCAGGAAAACATGATCTCTGAAATGCAAGACATGAATTGTTTATGTAAAGAAGTTGAGGATATTAAGTCTGGCCATGCTGCATTACTAACACAGGGAGAACAAACTCATGGACAAACAGAACCCAAAATTTGTTCCATGTCTGATGCCTTAAATGGAAATGGAGCTAAGAACCAGGACAGGATTAAAAAAATGGCACAGACAATTTGCTCCATATCTCATGAATGTACTCTCACAGGCCAAAAGCTGGAGTCTAGGATTGCATATATAGAAGGCAATTTACATGCCCTTCAATACTATCTAAGGATGAGAATATTAAAGGTTTAGAAGCATATATAATAGAAGAAACAAGACAAATTAATGATTCTACAAAATTCTCAGAATCTTATGTGATTCACCAGATTCAAACTGTCCATGAAACAGTGGAAACCGGGCTGCAAGGCTTGGATGACTCTGAAATGGATTCCTCCCAATCTGATGCACCTATTCCAATCAAACATCAGGAAAACCTGCCTAAGTTTGTTATGCATATACCACTTGTCTTCCCAGTTACCATGACAAAAAACTGCCATCAAAAAATATCAAATGGCCATGTCTCTCTGTGAACTGAAATCTTTCTCAAGGGGAGTGTTGTCTCATATAGTCTCCATAGCCTTTATGTCAAAGAAATATAAAATTTGTGGGCTACTTCTAAGAGAGTAATGCCGATTGATTGGGATGCATATTACCAGTTCTGCTTGAAAATTTGTCTCAAATACAGTGGAGGCCTTTATGT